ACTGTAAACTAAAGAACCCCAAAGACTAATGAAAATAAAACCCTTTTTGAAACAAACGTATTATTTCTTTGCAGCTCGGTACAAAATGACCCACAGCCCGATGCCGGTCCTCGGCCCGGTGGTTGGGGACCTTTGCTGTGACCCAGGACAGTCTGTCAAAATCCACATCGCCATGTTTTTGCCACGATGGTTCAGAACTGATGTTGTGACAGATTAGTATTTAAAATCATTTCTTTTAACACTCCAGTGCTGTGTGGTACTGAGAGTCGAACTTTAGTGAAACGGAGCACGATCAGCACGCTCAGGCTCAAACTATGAGCTTTGGTCATCACCATCTGAAACCACACTTCATGAATGGCGCGGCTCTGACTGTGACACTGTCGTACACAATCACTAAATATTACCGACTCCGGTGGGGAACATTCAATTCATTTCAATTCAATTTTATTTATATAGTGCCAAATCACAACAAAAGTCACCTCATTTCAAAGATCTAATATTTTCTTCAGTAACACATGAAACTAGTGACTGAGACCATAAACTCATCTGGAATGATGACGCACCACTGACCTGGGTACTGCAGTTTTAGCAGTTGTTACTCAAACAGCAGCTGGATGGTGAATGTGGGATGAAAACTGCACCGAGTCTGTTTCTATATGTGCAGAGTTCAGGTGAGTCTCAGTGCGCACCCCCCTAAAGTTAGGGGGGTCAGTTATTATCCAGAACGCTTTTTTAAATTTCCAGCTGTTTAGAGCACCCGGATGGATAAGAAATATTTTAAAGCTGCATTTATGAAACAACGGCAGGCAAATTATTGTCATCAGCACATTATATTTGAAGAGTGTTTAAAAAACAAGTTTATTTGTTGCCATGACTTGCAGTAAATGAGCAGACCTGGCATGTTTCCTTTCCAGGCTGAAACACATTTTGTGTTTATCCTAATAATACTATCTCGCTGTGAACAACACACTGGAGTACACGAAGCAGAAGGTCAGGGACAAACGCATCCAAATTCCGGTCCCTCAGCTTTTAACGGCAGACCTTCTGCCTATCAGTGACTGAAAGGAACACGGTCTCATTAGTTTCTATCATCTTCCCCGTAGAAAAGCCAAGAGTTGGACAGCGAGAAACTGGAAGTTAGCCGAGTGCACTTGCATAATGTTCACATTTATTTTGTTTCAAGTCCTAACACATTCTAAACATGCTTTTAACACATAATGGATCACATTCTTCACAGGTAGTTAAAGTAACAAGAGCAGACAAGAGATTTCTGAAGAGAAAAGACAGAAATGGCGTTTCAGTTTCTGATGACCGTGTATGAATCTGTTTGTTCCCTGAGATATGTTGCCGGTGTGCTCCTCGTGTGCCTGTAACAAAGCTCTGACAGCTGGACACCTGCTGTTCTGTCTATAGTGTTGTCAGTTACAGGGAATTAGGGGATGGAGCTCCATCCAGGACAAGCAATATGGGCCGAAATGTCTATTTGTGTGTGCGTCTGCATAAAAACACAATGCTCCAGGCCCACCAACATGTATGAAGTCAGTTTGAACAGGAATCCCTAATATGGTCATCTCTGGCTCTGGTTTAGAAGCCACACCCACTGGCTGTTCTCAGATGAAAACTAAAGGGAGTGGACGAGCGTTATATAGAAAGTGTGGTGAATACAAGCTGTTTCTGTAGGAACATGAGTCTTTTGAACATCTCACTTACAAATAAGTTGATGGCGTTAAAGATTTAACAGCAGGACAGCGACTTTAAAGGCGGAGCCTGGGTGTGTGTCCAGCCCCAGTGCTCACACCACAGCCGTCTGTCCATCTGTGGTCACAGTGTTACGGTTACACGAGTGAGCAAACCGGAGGAAGAGTCAGCCTGAGCACAGTTACATCCTGCGATTGACAACTGATCACATGCAGCACCGGCTGCTGTGGGATAATACTGAGTGTGTTCTCTGCTTCACCAACGAACAACAAACACGCACGTGCATGCGCACACAGGATTATCATGGTATGGCGAATACAGCAAATTCAACAGATAATGAGGCATATTTGGATAAGGTCAACATGGAAAAATGCAACACTGGTTAACTTCAGCCAGAACATAACACATGAATGCTTAATCAGTGCACTGACATTGTCATTGACATTCGTTCATCTTTGGTATGTGATTTTTGATAACAGGGTAGGAGTGAAATATAAGATGATGCTAATTTAACATGAAACAGCACATTAGGAAACAAAGGAGGAAGAGGGTCCCTAAAAGTACCTGAGGTAGAGAGGAATACAAGGCTACGAAGAAGAAAACAAGTGTTGGTGGTTCACATGTAAGGTCAACTCATAAAAAACATTGGTGTAATGAACATTAGTAACAGTGTGAAAAATACAGAGGTAGTTTAGAAATGGCACATCCCTTTGTCTGCACACAACCAATACAAACAGGAAGTGAAAAAAGACACCAGCGTGTGTGTAGCAAACTGTAACATTGAACAAGTGCGAGTGCTGCCAGCAAAGGTGGGATTCACCGCTGATAAGCAGACAGTTTGGCATCACATTAAAGGAGAAACCCCTCAGATCCTGCTGCGCTGTCAGATCTCAGTGTGATGTTCAGTGCATTCCTCCAGTCATTTTGCTGTTTTTCTGGCAGTGCTGCACAGACACGGGACAGCCTGACAGGCTCTCTGAGCAGCGTTTGAGGGGATCTGAACCGTTTCATCACAGTGAGACCTTCGGTACACAGAAGTGTCCTGAGATACTGTGATCTAAAGGGTCGGTTCACCAAAACGACACGATAATGTAATCTTGTCAGATAGTTTGGTTTAATGTTTTCAGTTAATACATGTGGAGGAATGCTGCCTCTACATGTATGTTTTTTAAAAACATAACACTATCAGTTGTTTGGGAGGGAGGCAGCTATCTCAAGCTAAAAGCCAAACCTTTCAGCGCCGCTAAAGGCAACATTAAATGGTTTTGTTCATCTCTGCAAAATCTGAACATCCAGCAGTTAGCCAGCGACGCGAGGAGGATCAGGGTTCGGTCGAGCTGTTTTTATACAACCTGAAACAAAACTGAAGAATTTAAACATCTTAGACTTTCTGAACATGTGGACCCAAGTGGATCACTGGCGATCGCGTGCATGGTAACCTGGTTACCATGGTAACGGTGAGGTTCACATCTATTCCACCCAAAGATTAACTTTGAAACCTAAGAGTTTATCAAACTGTGCTCGTCGGGCACCTGGCTCAAACGTAACCCTGCCCCCGTGTGGTGTGCTGGTCACCTGATGGATGAACACGAGGCTTTTGTCTCCAGAGACGGCGCCACAGCACAACATTTGAGGTTTAAACTTATTCCAAGATTACGCAAACAGATCCAAAATGTCAGCAGCGTGCACGTAAAGCATTGCTGACAAAGCCTGAGTAACACTTTCTTTAATGAACACAGTGAACAAGTGAACGTCAACAACAACAATGAAGAAATCAGCCAAAGTTTAGAAAATGATAGGTGTTGTCTTCACTCCAAATCAAACCCAAAAAAGCTAAAAAGACATTCTTAATTATAAACTACAAAAGGTACATTAAAGCATTCAAAAAAATCAAAAGAGGCTAACTGAAGCATTACAAGGAACGCTGGATTGGGCTGTGGTTTCGTTAGGCTGCGCACGACGGGAGGGAAGCCGTGACATCGGAAAGATGCCGCTGCCTTTTGCTTCGTCCGTCATCAATGCCGAGAGCTTTGGAAAACCTGCCCTGCAAACTAATTCCACTTTCACTGAAGGGGAGTGTGGGTGGGGTGGGGACTGTGAGGGAAATAAAGTTGAAACAACAAAAAACAAAAACACCTTTCTACAACAGGACCTACAATGTCCTGGAAGCTACATCTACTAATACTACAAGTACATCAGTGTGGTCACTGACGAACTCCTGAATGCAATACATAACACTCACTTTACCCTGTATATATCCAGGTCAGCAGGGACCTGAGAGAGGAACACATTGGGTGGGCAGTGGCCAAGAACAAGGGTTAAGGTCTCCAAACCTCACTGTCGTGTGCAAAAAAGGGAGTGGTTGCGGGGACTGCACTTTGTCTGCATTTCAAATGACGCAAATGGTGAAATGGCCAGAAAAGACACTTCAAGTGGTCAGAAATGATAATCTCACACTTTAAAAATAAAGACCATTTCTCTGTGGCTACACTTTTTAAAACGGCGTGCATATCTGTGGGTATGCAAGCCAGGGGTATATCCCCTAAAATTCTCCAAACCTGGCCTAAACTGATTGAGGTAAAGCCCTAGCCGATCACACCGAGTCCACTTACGGCTGGATTAAAGCGATTAGACGTTCAACTTTAAGCCAGTTCTGCATAAATGATATTTTCACTTTCATCTCATTTAAAAACAGTCGGACCGTACCTGGATGTCCACGCGGCCTGATGCCCGTGGAAACCAAGTGTGGTCTGATTTACATTCTACATCTAAAAACGTTTGATTGCCCTTCAAAACTGGCCGATAGAACTTTGAAATTCAACAACTGTTTTGAAAAATCGAAATGAACTCTTAAGCAAAACGGATGGATCAATAAACACTGATTCTTTTAAATGGCTGGTTTCAGTGGGTTCCACTAAGATGGGCAACACCAAGCAGCCACAACATCAAAACCCCGGACAGCTGAAGTGACCAGTAATCGTTACCTTGTTACTATGCAAAGCTCTGCTGGGAGAGCTCGAGCGTGCTGGGGTTAATGTGGAGCCAACCCATATAGGGTTAGGGTTACAATAACATCCAACCACCCAAATAAAAATCCTTCCCCAAGGCTAAAATTTATTCAAATGAAAATTTATGGGCCCGTTTCCATTGTGAGTAAAGCAAAAACCCAACCCTAACCTTGGGTAATCAGTAATGTGGTGTTTGTTAAAAATGATGGCGTGCCCCAGTACCAGCGGTCTCCCTCAGGACTAGGGGAAAGCGTGGTTTGTTCACCTGCTCTCCAAAGTCCTCAAATTGAATCAAGCTCAAAATTCAACCTGCAGGAAGCGTTATCCGTGACGCGACCCACCGCCAGAGAGCACAGACCAGCTGACAGACCCAAATGTGCCAACACATCAGAAACCTCCCCGATATTTCAACGTTGTGGCTGATCGGTGTGTGTCACCCGTGAAGCTCGCACATTTTTAATCACATATACCCAGCTGTGTCGAGAGCAGGCGAAAATGCACCATCTTCCTTGGCAATGAAGAGCACAAAATGAGAGCCATCGTGTCTGCTCTGTGCATATGTGTGCACGCGACAAAACGCGCGTGTTTGCAATGAAACGTGGAACTTTTCTGTCCTGCAGAGCGTCTTGCCTCTGAAACAGACTGATTCATTTCTTATCCTCGTCCTTCATGGATAAGAAAAGGGTTTTGTTGAGCTGTCAGCTCCCTACCCATCAGCGAGCGCTTGATATAATCTTTGCATAACACTTTGGTCAAGAGAGAAACATAATAAAAAGAAAAACAGCAAACCTAGCTATCCGCCCCTTCCCCTGCAATAAAGCCATACATCCCTAGTCTATGATTGTTAAAAAATACCCGTATGCTCCTATTCGATGATCCCACAGATCCAACAACAGCCACCTTAACTCATGGAATGTTAAATTGACAAGACCGCCTCCTAAAAGCAGGATGTCTGAGTACTTTTGCTAATTCATTTTGCATTTTCAGTGTAACAAAAAACTGTTTTTCAGACTGATTTATGCAGCTTCTTTGAACATTCATCTCTGATTGAGGTACCAAAGCATCCACAGGGTTTTGGTTTAGACTGGGCAACTCTTCATTTAACAGTAAGAAAAGGTACCTGAAAATAGCAACAACATCTTCCTGAGGTAGTCTCAAAACACTCGTCGCGCGTGCCAAGGCGCCCCATCTGTATAAAATAAACTCTTTTAAAGTCTAGCTCTAACAATGGCAACACTGACACATGGAGCAAAATGGATACACGCTTGTAAACTCCAAAGACCAATGCATCTACGAGCATTTGTTTTGTACAGAAGCATGTGCACAGTGTAAATCAGCATACATTCAGCTCTGTCGTGTAATAAATATATAAAGAAAAAAGTTACAAAAAACAAACTAGCTGCTTGTCACATTCACGAGAGGGGAGACCAGTCCTCGACTCGGGTGTCGGGGAGGGTTTAGTTTCCGGTGGAGGCGGTCACGCAGGGCGACGGGCCGGTCCTGTAGCTGGTCAGGCTGGATTTGCAGGAGTGCAAGACTGCTTTGAACAGCAGGGGGAGCTGCTCCAGAGGGACGTTCACCAGCTTTGCTGAGAAGAAACCCGAGACACACGGCACTTTAGTTCATGATTAGCTTAGCGTCTGTACAGCCGACATTTTCATTGGTCACAGTCGTGTCCAGGAGGCAACCTGCGAGACAAATGAAGCCAACCCAAGTGCCGAATGCTGCAGTTCCTCTGGCGGCCACTAGAGGCTGGCTCCAGCAGTGTGCCCAGCTCGTGTTCAACGGTCTAATTTGGACAGGTTACGTGTACAAAATCTGACGACCTTTCTTTGACACAATTTTCACTGAGGCCATTGACTTTTTTAGAACTTATGAAGCTGATTTCGGTTCAGTTACGTCTAGTTAGTCAAAATTACTGGCAGTAGCATTTATTTCACAGTTTTTATTTAGATTACTTGTTTCGACCAATCATTCGTAAGTTTCAAAGAGTTGGTAAATAAAAGAAATGTATGCAAAGTGTCTCTATTTATCCAAAGGTTTGGCCATGATTTTATTTATTACCAGAAAAATGAACAGTTGGTTGTGTTTGATTTAATTGATGAGCTAAAACCACAAAAGTAACTAGATTGTGATTCAAGCTTTAACCCATCAACATGATCAATACTTGCCATAATTTCAAAATGTTATGGACAGCTTTTTAAAATTAACATTGTTGTTAAAAAGAAAAAGCCAAATGTATCAAATGGAATACAAAAAATAAATCATAAGCAACATGATATAGCAAAATAAAATTTGTGTATTATTAAGGGTTATTAAACATCTCAGCTCCAAAAAATCTGAATTTTCTGGCTATTTTTTGATGGGTTGGGTCTTACAGGGTTAATGCACTTATTATAGTTCATCTTAATGACAAAAGCCATGCTTTCTTTTATCCCATTAGCTCAAATAATTTAACCAAATAATTCATTAAACATAAAATTTTGCAACGGTTTTTGTATTTTCAGTGTTTTTCCCCAAAGACAAGGCACTGTAGAGGGCGGGGAACAACACAGGTGGTAAGGGCACAAACTGAAACTTTCATGGCTGAACATAAATCGCTGTGGCACAATACACGGGGTAGTATCACATTTTTGTAGCTCAAACAAACTAACGTATGAGTATCTGAGTGCATTTCTAAAGTCAGTCTTCAACAACAGCCTAAACAGTTCTTTGAGGCCTTACTTGAGATGCAGCGGATGTCCGGCAGGCACATCATGATCTCAGGGAAGCGTTTAGGCTGCAGTGGGTACTTGGACTCAATGTAGTCCTGACACACACACCAGTAGCGTTTATTCAGCTGCTCAAGCTGGGAGATGCTGGACAGTCCTCTGATATCTGTGGAGTAGGAACTATCACAGTCAAGCGGGGAAGGTCGCGATGGCAAAAAGTCAACACGCTGGAGACTTTGTTGTTACCTTGATTGAGGAAGTTGATGGTTTTCATACAGGCGTACTCCTCATTGCTGATCTTTAACTGGTGGAGTTTGCGAAACAGAATGATCAACCTCTCCATTACTTCCATCCCATCCTCGCTGAATCTGAGGAATCACACACAGACCCGTCAGTTAAGCTGAAAACTGCAGATCTATGAAGCCAGACGGTGCCTTTAAGGCTCCAACTCAAACCATGATATTGACTTTTGTAGGTTCGCTGTCCTCACTACAATCCACATAAAAAAAGAAGACAAAAATCCCCTCAGCACCGCTATCTTAAGCTTCCATGCTTCAATGGACAAGGCAAAGAAAATGAGGGAGGAAATATGTCAGATCTATTAAAAGTGCTTAAAGCGTCCTGCTGATTCCACAGCTTTTTGAAGAGAAGATTCATAAGTTCATTTCACGTTTTAAACATCAATTTTCTGCCTTGCACTTCTAATCTCTTTCACAAACTTCAACAATGCCACTGTAAATCAAACGTCCACGTCTAAAACCACTAAACTGTGGGCAAATTGACTGAAGCAGCAGAGTTATATTAGGAGAATGTGTCAGAAGGTCAAATTATACATGTTTGATTTACACAGGAACACTCCCCCTCTTCCCCCACGCATCCTTTTCTACTTCAAGTGAAACAAGCGTCTATAGTACACATGCCAGACAGTGCTAGCCACAGCTCAGCTCTGAGGAGGCCTCCTGTTCACGGACCACTTCACTGGGCCTCACCCAGCAATAACACTTGGAGAAAAATATTAAGCCCTTTTAGAGATGATGAGCTCACAAAGTGAAACAGCTTGGCTGTGCAGAGGGAATGTTGAATTCCTGATTGCTGTTCTCATTTCTACTGAAATACTGAATTAGCACAGCTCCCAGAGACTAAAAAGAAACATTTAATATCCTATAGTGAAACAGCCCCACTGTGACTGCTGTGGGTGAGGCTGAATTACCAAAACAGAACGAATGAAGGCAGTTTCTTTCTGCTACGTATCAATATCAAGACTATAGAATAAGATCACTTGTTGTTGTTCTTGCTTGAGCTACTTAACTTTAGTGTCTGGAAAGGTTACTTTTAAAGTAGTCTCTGTTACAAAATTACAATATAGTAATTCAGAAGCTCTCCACTGCTAAAAGCTAGCATAGAAGTTAGCATAGAAGTTAGCCTTGGCTGTTTCTGCACTGTCGCCTAAACGGTTAGCCTCCTTAACAACTCCTTAACTGCTGGATAATATTTTGATTATTGATGACAGAAAACAATATGAAAACAATCTAAAGGTCATTGTCTGTGCCAGCTGCCTAGCTAACATAATATGTACAAAATATGCCAGCTCAATATTCAATAGTAATGGTAATAGTAATAACTGATTTATGTTGCTAACCCAGTAAAGTGTAACTGTAACATTCGCAGAAGATTTTACAAAAAACGATTATTGTAGAGTTTTTACAGCTGCTGTTGTGATTTGGTGCTATATGAATAAATGATTTGAATTACAGTTACAAAGTTACAAACAGCTGTCTTGTTATAATACCAGCGCACAAATAGCAATGCAAGCCATCATTCGGAGCCCTATTGTCTTGCCTTTGACTTTGCTTAAAGATCTGCTTTAGAAGTTAGCTAGTTGCTAACTCTATCAGTTGTCTGCTAGTGGGTAAACGTATAGCTCTTTCCCTGAAAAGAGAAAACAGCTGTGGCTGAAACGAGGTTTCTGAGAGCAGTAAGTGAAGCACAGCTGACTGCAGGTTCTAGTTTGGTAAAAGGACGTTAATGCAGAAATGCCATAACGGCCACCAGATGGCGATAGCTGTAGCTGCAAAAAGACCTGACCTCTGTAAACACTTTCCTGATGAGTTTTTTTGGCCTTTATTGAATACAAAAATAATGTCTCTTTTGGAAATATAAGTCATTCTATGCTTCAACAAGGAGGGTTCAACTTGGTTCTGCTTGCTCATTGGCTAATGACACTGATTAGCCAATGAGCAAGCAGACCTGCCCGTCCTCATGACAAGTTATTGTTGTCTGTTTGTTTTTTAAACCACGGTGATGATGGTAAAACAAACTAGAGCTCAGAAACCAGTGGACGACGTCACAGTGTCCATCTATTATATCGTTTCTTCTGTGCACCTCTAAGAAACTCAGGGGAGGTATGTAATAGTTATAAACTAAATGGAGTAAATGTGGGTGTTTTTTGGCTCTTCAATAATTCAAGTTATTCTAAAGCTCATAAACAAAACACCCAATTGTTCTCTCCTTTTGCTCTTTAAGCACTCGCCACTCACCCCTGAAGCTCGTCGTCAGATGGCGTGTACTTTGCTGTGATGTCGGCCAGCTCTCCAAAGATCTGGCCACTGTAGATAGTGAGGCAGGAGAGCAGGATGAGCTCCTGCCAGGTGGAGCTGAGCAGGCAGGTGTAGTCCTCTATGGAGAGCTCACAGAAGAAGGGCAGCTTCTTGATCCAGGAGATCTGGCGGAAAAGCAGCTCGTCTGCCAGACGGCACAGCAGAGCAAACAGCTCCACTTGTGTTACCTTGTACCTAGTGAGCAAACAACAACGAGACAGATGTGTGGTGGGCAGGAAAACTCTCATCATGTCAAAATGGGCCTGACGTGGCTCAAATCAGCATCCCACTCCACAACACACAGCTGTAGTTCACTTATTCCTGTTTTCAGCAGCCTTCACGTCCCTCACCGTCTGACTTCCTGTCCCTCTATATTCTCCTCATTTCACAGAGCAGATCTGCTTATTAGCCTTCAGCTAATTCTAACCTCTGTTACCAACAGAGAGCAGCTGACTTCAGGCCATTTCCTAAAGCATTTCTCTGAATTTATCTGAGGAATAAATATAAAATAATGAGGAAAAAATAAACAATCACACAAAATGTATTTAAAAGAATCTTTAAAATAATGCAATGCTGAAAAAATCAAGATGTGATCAGAAAGTTCCTGCACTTTCAAAATCACAAACCTTTCTAATTTTGACAAAGAAATGTCAACAGAGCATTTCTAACTTTCATACTAGAATTAGTTTGGGATAAAACGCTGATCATGGTCAGTATTATTATCCCACCGAGCAACAGAGCTTTTCATTGAGCCACAGCACAAACGCTGCCGTGTTTTATCTTCCAGTTTACACGCAGTATAGAAACATTGGCAGCAGTTTGAGCTGCCACATGAAAATGCATCAAGCCAAAAACAAATCACTTTAGACTTGGAGGGGAGAAACTAATGAAGCAGGTCACAGGAGTAGCTCCACGTTAGCAGAAGAGACTCCTTCAAGGCAAGAATGCTGAGGACAATCCTTTGTCCTTTGGTCAAATAACACTAAACCACAGTTGTTTGGTCACCGCGACACTGCTAGTGTTTGTACACAGGAAGAAAAGGCAACCCTAAGAACACTGATGGTGGGAATGAATGCTGTGGGGATGCTTCAGTGTATGTGGAAGTGGAAGAAATGATGAAGAAACCTCACACAGTCAGCATCAACGACCAAAAACATATGATGAACTTGATATTCAGAGAATATCCTCCTGTTGGAGCGCTTGTGAGAGCGCCAGGCTCTCCAAATATTAACATAGAGGTTCAAGAGCCTAATTCCTATTCCAACACACCTGCATCTCACTTACCGAGGTAAATGGCAACGTTCACGACATACAATTAGAAAAAGACTAACAAGTTTGGTTTACTGGGAAGGACTGTTTGCTACAAAATGAGTATCTAATTGAGAATTTTGCTTTCTGAAACCAGCTGCACTCCTTTCATTTGGCCGCGCCTCTACACAACGCACGATGCTGAGTATGAACTCACTCTTCTTCTATAAGCATTGGAGTGGTCAGGGGGGCCAGCTCTTCAGCAGCCACCAGCTGCTGCACCAGAGGGTGGGGCTGTGGGTAGAGGTTGCGGGGCTGAGAGGCCAGCAGGCCAGACTGGGCGGCGTAGCTGAACAGGTGAGGCAAGAGCTGGTAATGCGTGGGCATGGAGGTGTTAATGTACTGGTCCCGCAGGGCTGCCGTGTAGCCGTTCATTTCAGCGGAGCGACTGGAAGCACACAAAGGTCAAAGGTTACAGTAATGCAGATTTTGTTAGTATTGCGGGGACAAAAACACGCTGGCTCGGGGTTTGCATTTCTCAGGCAAACCCTCCTTTAACCTCACCCTGATGTGCTGAGCTTCATCCCCAATCAAACTCTTTGCATTTTTTCACAAACTTGCAGACTAAACTTTGCATTCTGGGCATGTGCACGAGCGCATGCGACGCAGGCTTTCTGTTTGCTGTTCATTTCTGGCAAGGTTTAATTCCATCGCATAAAAAAAAGAAAAGCCATCCCCTGAATAGTTTTCAGGCTGCTGAGATAAAACCTGATGTTTACACAAAATGAGACTAAAATAAATGCCATCATGCAAGTACCTAGACAATATTTGTCCTTGATGAGTGCAGATAGACAATATGCTCGTCTCCAAGCAAGAACAGCAGATAGTGCGGTGAGCTCTTTGTGTTTGGTTGCGATCAGCGAGCCTGAGGAGCTGCATATTCAGGCATTCTTTGGCCAATGAATACTTTAACTAAAGTCTGGGTGAGATGGGAACGAGGTGTTAGACTGTCAGGGCCGGCTCATTATCTCAAAGATGGGGCGAGTGCCAGAGGCGCGTAGCTGAGCGGATGAGATCGACGACTCACTTGGACGACAGAGTGGAGGCAGGCGACGGCTGGTTGCCCTCTGAGGCGCCGTTGCTTGGCGAGCTGTGGTCGCTGTCGCCGTTGTTGCCCCAGGTGTGCTCCGGGGCGTCCTCCTTGAACTCCTGGCCCGACATGATCCGCTCGATCTCCTCCTCCGTTATCTAGAACACACACACACATGCATACACACACACACACACATGAACACACACACCCACACACACACACACACACACACAACACACACACATACACACACACACACACACACACACACACACACACACACATGCACACACACACACACACACACACACACACACACACACACACAGCACACACACACACACACACACACACACACACACACACACACACACACACACACACACACACATGCACACACACACACACACACACACACACACACACACACACACACACACACACACAACACACACACACACACACACACACACACACACACAACACACACACACACCACACACACACACACACACACACACACACACACACACACACACACACACATGCATCACAACACACACACACCACACACACACTACACACACACACAACACACAACACACACACACACACCATCACACACACACACACACACACACAGGGAGGTTTGGAGCTTACAGCACATCCATGCATGTGCATCAGTTCAATTGATTAGCACCAACTAACAGCACACGGCTTTTCATTAAAATGCTGAGGAGCAAGGACACAATCACATAATGACACAGAAAGAAAAGAGGCGCGTGTGTGTGTGCGCGTTCGATTGGATGATTCACACACTTAAAATAATAAGATCTGTGCAGGTCAGCACGAGCAGAAAACGCAGACAAAAGCCATTCTGAAAGGCTTCAGCACGCCTGCACATACCACGTCTCATGTCTGAGGGAGGTCAAGTCACTTTCATTTCTATCAGTTCATCCCAAATACTGTAACAGGCGTTTTCATTCCATATTCATGACAGAAAGGTCCTGCTTTCATTAAGGGCGCTGGTTCTTAATGGAAGCCGTGTTTCTCTGTTTTGACTCGTTCAATTGAGCCCGAATGAATCGAGCGCCTCCCTCCCCGTGAATAGCGGCTCAGTGGTACTTATCCTCATGTCACACATTTTTCTGACCATTTGTTCCCTCGCTTCACGTTAATAATAAAGGCACCGCTGAATGGGGACTAATCAGCTGCTACACAATTATACAGATGATATAACAAGGTCAGGGCTCGCTCTCATTATGAGCATCCCGAAGAGTAGCACTGCAGCACTCCAGCTCTGTGTTATTTAATGGCTTGTGATCTGAGTGGGTTTACTGTAAGCACAATTCCTCAGAGGCTGAGCCACAGCGATGATGCTCAGGCTGGCTGGGAGGTGGGGAAAGGTCAGTGCGCACCACAAACAACACAATCCTTCAGTCCATTTACCTGCACAGGTCCAATGCTTTTGTTCCTCCCTCCAGGCATGCCGTCCTCTCTGATTGCTACATGTCAAAAAAACAGGAAAAAGTCATTTGTTCCGTTAACCAAACATGATCGGTGTCACAGCTCTCCCTAGTGGCTAAAGCACATCAGGCAAAACTGTCCCACCATCCAGCTCCAAATACAGCTGCTGCTGGCGGGCAGTCATATTGTTTTGGTACACTTACAAGCAAAGTACATGTCATCTCATAGTCTTAGTGTGTGTGAGCGTTTCTGCAGTGTAGATAAAATCGCTGTGATTAGTGACTGACTGGGTGAGTCCCAGTCTCATCTCCATTCTAAAACAGGCACTTGAAGAATAAGGCCATGAGGACAGGCACTTACAAGTTTTAGCCACATGGGGGCAGCACATGTCTGTGGAAGGAAAACTGCAGCTTAGATTGTGTGTGTGTGTGTGTGTGTGTGTGTGTGTGTGTGTGTGTGTGTGTGTGTGTGTGTGTGTGTGTGTGTGTGTCACTAAGCAAAGTCCAGGAGGGAGAAACAGATTTATTGGTAGAATTGACACATTCAAGCGTTTCCAGGTTTTCAGAGACTTTGCGAGCAGCTGTTTCTTTGGCTCACAGATAAACGGAGCAAAGTCCCGACAGAAGCAGCTCTGGCCACTCAGCATCTTAAAAACCTGATTTTGACACATCTAAATTACAGGGGCGGATCTATACACGGCTCATATACACACAGTCTGTAACCTCCTCATTTAGCCATATACTTTGTACTGTAGAACCTTTTCATAAATGGTGGATCTAGAAGCTACTCCACTGCTACGTGCTTACATTTACACAAATCTGCACTGTGAACACAGTTTTACCAAAAACTTAAACCTCATCTTTCAGGCTGTTTTTGACTACTTTGTATTTCACCTTTAAAAACCGTTTAGCTCGTCTTGAATAAATAAAGTTCTTTATTCATGGTGACTTACTGCATTCACACAATGATCTAAAAATCAGTCAAGAAACATAACTTGAAGTTGAAAAATTAGGAAGTGTTAGGTGTCACAGTAAGACGCCACACAAATGATTGTGCAACTCCAAAAAATAGTTTGTGTCCACCACGAGACAGCAGGAGGCGTCTTCCACCTGGACGCAGCGTTTACACTGCAGCCTTTGACTGTGACACTCAGTGGTGGACTTATTGTTTTGACACACAGAACAAAACAACTACACACTAACTACACACTCCAGACACGCTAAACATCTCAAATCTCTCCCATCGATATCCCGACTCTCTCCCACAACTTTGACCTCTTCCTAAACAACAAAGGTCACATTCAGCCATATCGTTTTTGGATTGGTGCATTTTTCCACCAATAGGAAAGGGGAGGCATTTTTCCTTGGTGTGTTGTTGTTGTTAGCGCAGCCATGTTCACTGTTCCTTCCTGCACTAAACATATAGTATTTAGAAAAAAGCAGTGTGTGGATATTTTATCATAACTCTGGTGTAACCTGGCCTATCAGCAACATGTAAAAACTGCCATGTAGTTTAACTTTAACCATTAGTTAAACAGAGACTCAGCAGAGTCGCATCTTGTTACTATGTTATCTTAAACCGGTCACATGACTTGCAGGCACCGGCGTGTCCATCGACCCCAGAGGGTTAATAACACACCTTCACCCACGCCACCACAGTCCCACCGCTCTGTCAGCGCTGTGACAGAGCGGTGGGATCGAACTACCAAACTTCCAGTTAATAGGCGACCGGCTCTACTTACAGGAAACCTTTCATTTAAGCATTCATGTGGCCAATCCCAAACTCCCCCATGATGGTTGGGATAGGCTCGAGCCAGGGAACAGCATCTGTCCGTCCATCCTTTAGATGTGGATGGTTTAAACGTGTGGCCTCATTGACTCAGGCTTGCTGTGGACATTCAGGGGAAGTGTTTAAGTGGCACAGTGAAGTCCACATGAATGCTTAAATCAAAGGTTGCCTGCAGCTCAGGAAGTACAGCCAGTCACCTACTAATTGGAAGTTTGGTGGTTCGATCCCCGCGTGCTCGCCAAAGTCTGCATGCCAAATATCGTTGGTCAAGACACTCCGATGGATGCATCAGAGTATGAAACAGAGGATGGAAAAAACTCGTGTGAATGAGGCAAAATTGCTTTGAGTCCTCTGAGCAGAAAAGCGTTATACAAGAACCGTTTACCCTGTAACAAGATGATCAGTTCACCTACCGTTGGTTTCAGAGTCATACTGACAGTGCACTGTGCTGAAAAACTGTTAAAAGCAGAAAAACAAGGTGACTGAAAGTTTGTGAAGACGTTTCATTTAAGAGGCCAGTCACTCTCCAGACACGACCTTCAACTGTAGTACCTCTGACTCTTTTCTGGTCTGGGTACTGATTCTTTTGTCATTGATGCTTCATTGTTACCGCAACTCGATGAGTCAGACATTTATTACCAAACAAACGTCTGTTTCTGGTGGCTTGAAACATCTACTTTACCTTTACGGTTCATCCCCATCTGAAGGCACTTAAGCAGGCGGCAGTACTGGCAGCGGTTGCGCTGCTTGCGTGACATCTCGCAGTTTTTGTCCCGGCTGCAGCGGTACACGCGCTTGTTGCAGATGCTGCGCTTGAAGAAGCCCTTGCAGCCCTCGCAGGAGATGATGCCATAGTGCAGGCCTGTGGCGCGATCTCCACAGATAAGGCAAGTACGCTGGTCAGTTGGATCATCTGCAGATGGAAGGAGAGTGGGCACAGGAGAGGGTTTAGAGCCATTTCCATCAGCGTCTTTACAGTAATTCATCTAAAGCTTAAAAAAGGGAGTGGGAGCAAAAACCTTGCTGAAGGCACACATTTTTAATTGAAATCACGAGGGCGGCTGGGGCTTAAGTGCTAGCCAGGCACTGGATAATCCAAAGGATTCTTAAGCTCCAACTCTCATTTAGTGAAAGTGGAGGTATAACAGGCAGTACGATGGAGAGAAACGTCTGCAGGTCTGAATGAGGACACAGCTGGTTTGTTTGCAGCGCGTCCTTTCTCTCCTCTTCCCCACAGCAGTGTCTGATAAAAACGCTTCTCTTACAAGACACCTGACGCTAAAATAACACATTTCACAAAACCTGCTTCAGGTAACAATATGTGACAGTATTACTGTACCCAGCACCTGTTGCATCCTTAGTGTTAGCACAGATGTTCCACACAGGCGGCCCCTCAATCATTAACCTTCATTCTGTTTCCTTAAAGAGCGCAGTTTCAGCTGATTGCTTCAAACAATGAAAAGCAGTTAGGAAGGGAGGTGGTAGGAACCCGTGGGGAAAGGGCTCACACGTATTTGATGTTCTGGATAAAATGATGTAAAATCAAAGTTAAAATGATACCAATGAGTGTTTGTAAGCCTGGTGTGGCAGCTGGCTGACCACGAGTGAGGGAAACGAGGAATACAGCATGAAGGAGGGGAAGAGGATGAAAGAGCCAACACGGGACCATCCTTGTGAAGCTACACTTTGTTAATCACAGAGCTACTCTCAAAGACAGCAATTTGAGGAAGCTGCTGAAAATCTTTCCTTAATCCTCCATCTACCTCCAGGCCACAGAACGCACATAATGAAGCTTAAGTTACAGCGCGTGTTCTCGGCTGCTCGCAGAGTTAAGCCTCATACAGCACACACACACACACACACACACACACACACACACACACACACACAGACACAACACACACACACACACACACACAGACAACACACACAGACACAACAGACACACAGACAGCACACACAGACACACACACACACACAGACACAGACACAACACACACACACACACACACAGACACACACACAGACAACAACACACACACACACACACACAGCACACAGACACACACACAGACAACACACACAGACACAACACACACACAGACACACACACAGCCCACCACACAGCACAGCACACACACAGACACAAGCACACACACACACACAGACATCACACACACACACACGACACACATAGACACAGACACACACACACACACAGACACACACACACACACACACACACACACACACACACACACTCACACAGACACTACATGCACACACACACACACACACACAGACACATCACAACACACACACAACACACACACACAGCACACACACAGAATGACACACACAGCACACACAGACACACACACACACAGCAACACACAGACACATCACACACACACACACACACACACACACACAACACACACACACACAGACACACACACACACACAGACAACACACACACACACAACACACACACACGACACACAGAGACAACACACACACACACACACACACACACACACACACACACACACACACAGCACACACACACACACACACAGCACAGCACACACACACACACACACACACAACACACACAGACACACACACAGACACACAGAGACACACACACACAGCAACACACACACACACACGACACAGACACAGACACACACACACAACACACACACACACGACACACACACACACACACAAACAGACAGACACACACACACACAGACAGACACACACACAGACAGACACACACACACACACACAGACACACACAGACACACGACACAGACGACAGACACAGACACAGACAGACACACACAGACAGACACACACACACACACACACACACACACACACACACAGACACACACACAGCACACACACACGACACACACACATGCACACAGACACACACACACACACACAGCACACAGACACACACACACGACACACACAGACACACACGACACACACTGACGCACACACAGACACACACACACACACACACACACACACACACACACACGCACAGACGCACACAGACACACACAGACACACACACGCGCGCACAACACACAGACACACACACAGACACACACACACACACGACACACACACACACACACACAGACTCACAGACACACACACAGACACACACACTCACACAGACATACACACACACAGACTCACACACACACAACACAGACACACGCACACACGCACACTGACACACACGCACACACTGACACACACAGACACACACACACACACACACACACACACACACACAGACACGCACACAGACACGCACACACAGACACACACACACACACACACACCAGACACACACACAGACACACAGACACACACACACACGCACACACAGACACGCACACACACACACACAACCCGCACACACAGCACACACACACAGACACGCACACACACACGCGCACACAGACACACACACACAGCGCACACACAGACACACACACACGCGCTCACACACACACACACACACGCACACAGACACCAAAAAGCTGTTCTCCACCCTCCTCCATGAAGGACCAGGAGAGCCACGCACATCGAAATACGAGTCATTTTGTTACTTACTGTTAATTGTGCGACAAATACTTTCTTTTGTATTTTGACAATAACATTATTCTAAATTTGAAAACTTAGTGGAAAATGTTTTTAAATTCTCAGAATTAAAAAAATGATTTTGACAATCTTTTAAAAATGCAACAAAAAAAGAAGTAAATGGATTTCTAAAAATGAATTAGGAATAATGTTACTAATTTAATAATTAATAACTTTTGAAACAGATTCTTGTAACGTAACAGCTGTCAGTTCATCCCTTGTACTAACTGCCACGTCTCAAAGCAAAGACTAATCATTTGACTTCATTTCTAGCTTAACAAGCGCACACGTTTATTCTGAGCTGAAAACAGACCAGCATCAAGCACCGTGTGTGAAGTTTAGTTTTTAACATAATGCAGTTTGACGTCAGGCTTCTCGAACAGTCGAACAATCGCTGCACCCACAGGAGCTACACCTGCTAAAAATCCAGATAATCAACCTGTTTTTCATAACAGGAAAAACCGAATTTGATTTCTTATTCATTTATTTTTCTCTTTCATCTTTGGGATTATTTGGATCTGACAAGTATAAAAATTTAGCATCAACTTTGAACAGAAAGTCATTTTGAAAAAGTTCTCGTTGTGATGTTGGTCACCCTCTGACAGATCAAACGTCACAAAATGCCACCCGTCTTACTCCAAGTTGGTTCTGTTTCAGGAATTTGCAGGATCAGTTCTGCAGGACGGGGATGGAAGCTCCCATCATTGACCATCCACCTGAGGTTTGGGCATTTATTGTTTTGTCTGTTTTATCTCGCTCTGTTCGTCCACAGGTGCAGGGCCGGGCCTCCGTTTCTCCACTGCAGTGCTCAGTGTCTGTGCTGAGCATTTACAGTCTGAACACAGATTTGGAAAATATCATCTTTAATTCTAATTTTGCAAATATTTTCTAAAGGAGGTTTTCATCTTGCCCAAGGATATTTATCACATACACAGGAACAGACAGGGATTGAACCATGAACCTTCTGATTAGTAGGTGACCTCTGGCACCTGAGCCGTGGTCCTCACCCAGAAACAGGAGGGTCACCCAGTCTGGGTCATGGACGAGTTCCGGCCCAAGTTGAGGAGTTTAAGTATCTCATGGTTGTTCACAAGTGAGGAGAGAGAGGAGCGGGAGACCGACAGACGGAGTGGTGCTGCAGCTGCAGTCTCTACCCTCACCTATCATGAGCTTTGGGTAGTGACCAAAACAACGATATTAAAGATAACAGTGGCGAAAGCTTCCTCCGAAGGCCGGCTGGCCTCTCCCTTAGAGACAGGGTGAGGAGTTCAGCCTTCCGGGAGGGGCTCAGAGTAGAGCCGCTGCTCCTCCACATCGAAAGGAGCCAGCTGAGGTGAGCTGACAAGGATGCGTCCTGGGCGGGGCAGACCAAGGACACGCTGGAGGAGGTGGCTGGGAGAGGGAGATCTGGGCTCTCTGCTTAGGCTGCTGCCCCCACAACCACGTTCGGGATAAGCGGAAGAGGGATGGATGATACTGGAGGGTTATTTGGGCCGAAATGCTGTGACTCAATAAAAGCAGATTCTAACTATTAGATAAAAACAGATCTTGGTCCGATGCGCCCGTCATTCATTCGGGTGTGCAGAGATTTTCAAACCACTGTCTGATATTTAATAAGACTTTAAATTAGCGACTGAAACCATAAACTTATCAGGAAGAATGTCAACTAACATCATCCATTAAATGGGTGCAGGGTAGAGCTGGGCGATAGAACGATAACGATACGTATTGCGAAATAACTTTTTCTCAATAGAAAAGTTAAATATTGCGATAGACCTGATCTCTCTTGTCCTCTTAAAAAAAAAAAGAAAGAAGAAGAACAGCCAATCCAAATTAAGTAGCGCAGAGCCGAACCAATCACAGCCGAAGCATCATGTCACGTGACTTGTTACGTACAGCACAAGTGCCAAGCCGCACATGTGTATTTGGGAAGCAGCCAGCCGCCGTGCCGCCCGGGTAATGGAGGAAATGATTGTGCCGACTAGAGAAAAATCAACCGAGAGCGTGACCGAAGGTTACCGAAGAGAAAATAGATGATGGCTCCAATGCCGGAGAGATTGTTGACCGGAAGAGCCACAGAAGTTCCGTAGTGTGAAGGTATTTCGGCTATTTCAAGTCGGACAAAAAACAGAGCAGCTGCACTGTAAATTGTGCCGAAAGCAAGTCTGGAAATACAATAAAGCGGTGCAGCTCAGTCTCTGACTGGAAGCAGAGATAGATATCGTTATCGCCTGAAATGAAAAAAACACATCGTGATATGAAAAAATCTCATATCGCCCAGCTCTAGTGCAGGGTCATTTTGTCATAGACTTCGTGTAACACCAGTCCTATTAAGAACGAAGGCGCTGCCTGCCAGCCAATCTGCAGGTTTAGAGTATTCTCTGAGTTGTGATACAACCTTCTAATGTTTGTTTGTATGCTGTGTTTTAAAAATGAGTTGAGGGAACAGTTTTTAGGTTTTCTTTTTTTTGTCTGTTTGTTCTGCTGGTACCAGTGGCTGTGATGACAAAGGGCTACAGCCATTACCAACAAGTCAGAAGGAGGCTGCTGCTCGGTAGGTTAACGCTGCCTGCTGAGCGTGAAGATTAACCTGTAGATCTTATTAATGTAAGACTCGTGTCTAATGCAGATAACTAATGTCTAATGCACTGCACACAGGTGGGACTCTGTGGCGGGAAAGCCAACAATGGTGACAGACATGTTTCCTGAGACTGACTGCATGAAGGCTTCTAGAGCTTGTTGATGTACCGTTATGTCCTGTACTCACCATCTGAATCCTTCTAACTATAAAATAGTGCAGTTAAAGTTAAACCCTCAGTATTTCTTAACTGAAGTCATTCAGGCATTTTTAAATGAAACTATTATTGTTATACGCTGCCTCGAACACAGTTTCACATCCTGTCTTTAAATAAACAGTTTGCCAGAATCAGCCTGCATTTAAGCAAAAGAATCAACCGACTTTGGAATAACGACAAAATGAGCTGGTAGTGATTTAATAAAGTTTCTACTTCATCCTGGGGAGGTTCACCTGGTGAGTCTGAACATTAGACCCACCTGTGCGCTGGACAAAAATCACACACTGAAGAACATGACTTTTGAACCTGTTGTGTGTGTGTGGCTAAACCAGCAGAAGAATCCAACACACGCACACACGCACACACACACACGCACACGCACACACGCACACACACACACGCACACGACACACGCACACACAGCACACACAAGCGCGCGCACACCA